ACCTTTATTAAAAGATGCAGAAAAGACTGAGAGACAGTGTGCCCTGGGAGTCCCTTTTTTCCTCCTGAGTACGGGTAGGTCCTGTTTATTTTTTTTCCTTCCCAAACAGGCCTTATCACACTGTGTAGGGCCACTACGATTCTTAAATCTCTCAAACCAACCTTTGCTGGCTTTAAATTCACCAATATGAGCCAAATATTCCAGGCATTTTTTTCCCGTTTACCCCGGGTGTTTTGTCGACTGGGGTGGGTTGCATCCTGGGGGAAAAAGATTAAGGACCCCAATGAAATAAGTTAGACGGGCTTTCGATGACCTGAAAATTTTTTTGGTTTTTCCGGGTGGAAAAAACCCCCCCCTGGGGTTAATTGTTTTTTTGGTACCCCAAAAAGCCACACCAACAACGGGGCTACAGCAGCACAGCACTGACGGTGGTACAGCAGCAAAAAGACGATGCTTTAAACAGCAAAAACAAGGGTTCAGCAGCAGCAGACCCTGCAAAAGGGAGCACAAGCTGACGGTGGGAAAAGGGACAACAGACGATGCCTTTCCGCAGCAAACGATGCTACAGCACACAAAGATGCAAAAGCAAAAAAGCACACTGACTGTGGTACAGCAGCAACAGACGATGCCAAAACACAGCAGACGATGCACACAGCAACAGACGATGTTACAGCAGCAGCAGACATGCTAAAAGCACACAGCCCGCAAAACGATGCTACCCAAAAACAGCAGCAAAACACTGACATGGGAGCAGGGAGCAGCAGCTGTACCACCAATAATAGCCCATGGTTGAAATTTGGGGGTTTTTTATACAACTGGCCAGCTCGGGGACACGCACTCCACTTTCCCTACTTATCAATGATCTTTTTTCTTCATCTCAAATTTTAATTCTCAACCCCCTTTTTTGCTGTAGGGGTTTGGGACTAGAAGCTTTTTTTGGGGCCCAGGTCACCTTTTAAATTTTCCAGAAAAAAGGGACCGAAAAAACTTAATAACGAAAAAATTTCCCATTTATCTTGGATGTTAAAACCGGGGGAAGGCGGCTGGTAAAAAATGCCCCCCCCGGGGAAAAATTTTAGCGTGGCTCCCGGGCCCCCCATTGGACGCGTCCCCACGAAAATCGGGACGTGTTTTTTTAAACGTTTTGGGGAGGCAAAATTTTTTCGATTAAAGCAAGCGGGATGCGGATTAATCCTATGTGATGCCACCCTTATGGGGGGGTCCACTGAAAACATATATATATAAATATATATATATATATATATTTTATATATAATATTTCTTTCTTTCTTTCAACACCCCCGGGGCCCTATCCCACCGAGGGGGGGTGGGCCCAAAAGGAAAAAAGAAAGTTTCTCCTTTTTTCATTTTTAATATATACAGGAAAGAGGTTTCACCCCTTTCTCCCCCGGGATTTTTGTTTTCCCCTTTCAACAGCATTGGGTTAAAGGAGGAAGAAAATTTTGTTCCACTTTCCCCCCTGGAATAAGAAAGGAAAAAAACAAAATAAAAACTAAAAAGAAAAAAAAGAAGAAAACCCAGAGGGGTGTTATATGTCTTTGGAACCCTGTAAGTGAAATGGACCTAAGTGTAAGTAGAAGTAGCAAGACTTAAACCCCGGGGAAAACTTGCATGTTCATGAGACAGAAAAAAGGACACCAGCAATCCTACCTCAGAAAACAATTACGGGCTTTCTTTTACACTCATTTGGGGCAGACGGTAGTTACCTCCCTGGGCGGTTGCTGTCTACCAACCTACTACCTTGAATATATATATATATATATATATATATATATATATATTTTAAAGGGTCGGACTGAGTCCTGGAAATGGGAAGTACAATGCCTGCACTTTAAAGGGGGGGTTTTTGGGATATTGGCAGTTTGGAGGGTATGTTTGTATCCCCTATACGTATATGCTTCTAAACTGTTGTATCCTGAGCACCTCTGCAAAACAGTGATAATGTGTGAGTGTGGTGAAAGTGTTGAATGATGATGAAAGTATTTTCTTTTTGGGGATTTTCTTTCTTTTTTTTGGGTCACCCTGCCTCGGTGGGAAAACGACCGACTTGTTAAAAAAAAAAAAAAAAAAAAAAAAAAAAAAAAAAATATAAAATATATATTATAAATATATAATATATATATATTTTTCTTTCAACACACCGGCCCGTATCCCACCGAGGCGGGGTGGCCCAAAAGGAAAAACGAAAGTTTCTCCTTTTACATTTATAATATATACAGGAGAAGAGGTTACTAGCCCCTTGCTCCGGCATTTTAGTCGCCTCTTCCCAACACGCATGGCTTACGGAGGAAGAATTCTGTTCCACTTCCCCATGGAGATAAGAGGAAATAAACAAGAATAAAACTAGAAAGAAAATAGAAGAAAACCCAGGGGGGTGTGTATATATGTGCTTGTACATGTATGTGTAGTGGACCTAAGTGTAAGTAGAAGTAGCAAGACGTACCTGAAAACTTGCATGTTCATGAGACAGAAAAAAGGACACCAGCAATCCTACCATCATGTAAAACAATAACAGGCTTCGTTTTACACCACTTGGCAGGACGGTAGTACCCTCCCTGGGCGGTTGCTGTCTACCAACCTACAAACCTTGAATATATTATATATTTTATAAAATAATATATATATATATTAAGTCGGACTTGAGTCCTGGAAAGGGGAATACAATGCCTGCACTTAAAGGAGGGGTTTGGGATATTGGCAGTTTGGAGGGATATGTTGTGTATCTCTATACGTATAGCTTCTAAACTGTTGTATCCTGAGCACCTCTGCAAAAGCATGATAATGTGTGAGTGTGGTGAAAGTGTTGAATGATGATGAAAGTATTTTTTTTTTGGGGGATTTTCTTTCTTTTTTTTTGGGCCCACCCTGCCTCGTGGGAGACGACCGACTTGTTAAAAAAAAAAAAAAAAAAAAAAAAAAAAAAAAATATATATATATAATATATATAATATATATATATATATTTTATATATATATATATATATTTTATATATATATATATATATATATATTTATTTTTTTATTTTTTTTTCAACAAGTCGGCCGTCTCCCACCAAATCTTTAAGATTCATGCAGTGCTACAAGACCGAGGTAACTAAGAGGGAAAGAGGTGGTGTTAAGCAGATAATATAAACAGAAAGAGGAGGAGGGTGGAGAACAGCTGATAAAGCAAATTGGTCTGTTGAGAAACCATGCCATGTGTACACATAAGATTATTAATACAGGTCCCCATCACTAATCCAGCATCACTGGAACCTGTAGTGTGCCGGATTAGTGAGTTTGCCAGATTACAGAGTGGTTAGGTTAGAATACACTTAACCCTTTCAGGGTCCAGAGGTCAAATTTCAAAGTGTGCACCAGGGTTCAAGGATAAAAAAAAAAAAAAAAAAAAATTCTTATGAAATGGTAGAGAATCTTTTTCTGAAGGTAATAAGACAAAAAGTACAAAATATGATGATAAATTGACGAAATTATGCTCTCGCGAATTTTGATGTGTCAGCGATATTTACGAATCGGCGATTTTGCCGACTTTGACTCCCATTTTAGGCCAATTACATTATTCCAGTTGACCAAATTCTTAGCTATTTCATTAGTATTACTTCTATTCTATCGATTGAGCACAAGAAATCACCCAGTCAACTATTTCAACTACAAAATAAAGTGATTGGAAATTGGTAATTTGGCCAATTTAACACAAAGTTCAAAATATTCCAATTTCAAAATAGGGTCCAGAATAAACAATGCAGGCATTCCTGGCATTAAACTAACATTTCCTCTGTTCATTAGTTATGCTTTCAGGCTTTACAAATGAATTCCATTTTTATTTTTTATTCACATAATGAATTTTTATTCAAATCAAAAACTAGAAGATTTACTGTTATGCAGCATTGTAATAATATAGTAATCATCACCACATTTGTGAATGTATATTAGACCCACCAGCTGGCGTGTATTAGACGTGTGACGTCGTTTGTTTACTCTTGAACATCGACAAAAACTTTAACATTTCTGCTATTTTGAGCTCAGTTTCAAGCCATTTCCATGCTGTATAGCCCTTGTGGCTTAGCACTTCTTTTTGATTATAATAATAATAATCAAGCCATTTCCAGTACTAAAACCAATCAAAATCATCTCTACTTTTGTAATATATCTTCCATTCTATCAAATGAGACCAAGAAATCGCAAATACAACTATGAAAATCACACAAAAAAGCACTGCAAAGTCGCTGTTTTAATCGAAAATCACGGTCTCAGTTTTTTTCTCTCATTATACACTGTGTGCTGCAGGATTTGTTTTATGTGGTGCACACATACCACATAGATGTATTCTCTCATATCTAGGCCCAAATTTACCACTCACAGCTTATCAGAGTGAGCTGAGCTCATGGCGTAGATCTACAGTTTGGACCCTGAACAAACAGCCATAGATCTACGGCACGGACCCTGAAGGGGTTAATTAACCTATCAATATTATTATTATAATCAAAAAGAAGCGCTAAGCCACAAGGGCTAACCTATCAATAGAGACTGTTTCTGCCACATCTTCCTCATTTTCATCACTGCTTTCTCGTCCACTGGCTTGCTGCTGTGGATTTATAACCATCTGCACAATTTCTGAGTCAGTATAATGATGAAATTTGAGTCAGTAGAATAATGAAATTTGAAATTATGCTAGCCAAAATTAGTGCCGGATTACTGATGGAACCGGATAACTGACTGCTGGATTAGTGATGGCCAACCTGCATTATATGTTGGAGGAAGTGCTAAGCCCCCTAGGGGTTATACGATGCCTGGGGGACTGGGAGGCAATCAGGTTTGATTCAAGAAAGGAGAGGATAGGCCTAAGTCCTTGCATAAGAGCCCCTCACAACCATGTGTGTGCAGAGTTGGACTGCCAGAGAGGAGGGTGGACAAAGTACCACAAGCATATCAAGACAGTCTAGATATAAAGTAACTATTAAGGTAGTGCAATTACTGCTGTTTGGAAAAATGCCTTACTAAATTTTGGTTACAGGCTTTTTTTTTTTTATTTTTAACAACTAAAATCCATTAGCCAGTGATAGCTTCACCTAGTGAAAAAATAAATGTAGACAATAGATGAATTTACATAATTAAAAACAAAGTACTATACTAGTACTTTTAAAACTACAATATGTATATAAATCAAAACAGCATTTTAGTGAAATTTACATTAAAACTTTTTGATTTCAGATAAGTGGGCTAAAAAATTAGGTAGACCCCTCAATGGGTTTGCCTAAAAATAAACTTATTTCTAGCTGATTTACTGAATCAGATAGTCACCCCAATTCCCAGGTGTTATATGAACCCCCTATGGATTAAGCACTTACACTGATGAAAATAAATATGGCCTGCAAAAAGTCAACCAATAAAACCTAAATTTAATATACTGTATATAAAAATGCCATACTGCTTTAAAAGCTACACTGCAAAAGACAGAGTGGCATATAAACAATTATAGATACTATATTAAAATTAGATAAAATAGCACATTAATATTTTCTAACTCTACAACAGCTTGCTTATAATGCCATATTGTTTTCTGTGATGAATTATTGTAACTTCTGAATCATTAGGGAGACTGGGTTGAACAAGTGTGTATACAAGACCATTATTCACTCCCTATACAATATGACCATTCTGAACAAAAACTTAAACCTCTAACATTCTGCACTATGGATGAACCATCATTTATATACAATAATGAATCAACTACCAGTATTCAAAATATTTAAAAAATATATCTTATTACCTTATAAACATTACCAACTTAGACATGACAAAGGGCCAACAGACAGATGTGCTGTGGCAATACAACTGGAATGAATCAAAAGATTAGTTATGCAAATAATGAATGGCCTACTGTAGGCTTATACAGTGTATTTCCTTGCAAATTTTTTTGTACTTAGTAAGAAGCCATCATTTCCTCACTAAATTATTAATACTTTTAATTTAACATTACCCTTGGACTTAAAAAAATCAGGAACTACTTAATTATGAAATTCTTAATGTTCAAGCACAATATTTGGTTCAATACAATTTATTTTTCTGAATATTCTGTCACTGAGTACATATGCCAAGACAAAGATCTGAACTAGTACCATGTATCCAAACTTGTTACTCCTAGAGATTCGGTGGTAGAGAGCATGTATGACCCAAAATGAGACTTAATATTATACTATTTGTAAGAGAGAATTATTATATTTACAAAAAATGTACCAAACCCATGTGGGTCATACAGCTGTATGATAGAAAAAGAAAACTGATAAAAAAACAAAAAGCTTAACATAAAATATTCCACTTCATTATTCAACTTTCTAGTTTCCCTTTAGCATTTTTGTTTTAATTTATAGTCATGGCTTTTTGTTGTGCCAGTTGATAGGGCTAATTCTTTCATATTATTTTATAATCTTGAATATGATTATCTTGTCTGCTCTGTGCATGCATCCACATTAATTACCTTAAAACTTTTAGCTCACATCTTAGTGACACGCAGTGTATAATAACTCTATGATAAACAACCATCAGTATCTTTAAGGGAAACAAATTTTTTATATAAAAATAAAACTGGTGTGCTATAATCTGTAAAGTGACTGAAGCTGAGAGACACACAGCATGATTCTTTCAGCCAGAATTAACTGATTTAATATACAGTCCTATACTGTATTTTATGAGGTGGTTGATAATCAATGTTAGAAACTGGTGGCTAATGAATGTAAACTGATAAAAAAAACTTCAGATGTAACAATGTAATTGATAATTCAAAACAGATTGAAGGGCACAACACACTGTTTGTGTCACATGGTCTGATGCTCTGTGGAGTTTACTGATAAGAATTTGATGCTCTGTGGAGTTTACTGATTAGAATTAAGTTTTACCATTTTAAATTTCATCACATTTTCAATATCCTTCCTATGGCCCCATTAACAATTTATATCCAAATATAGTACAGTATACTCTTTCTAATTATATATATATAATAAGATTAATAATAAGAATGGAATGAATCATAATTATCATTCTATATGTTTTCTATTTCTTATTTATAAAGTAATGAAAGGGAAAATAAATCATATCTAGCTGTAGAAATGTCCTGGCATGACAACAATGGCAGTAAATATTTTAAGCAAACCTACAAATGAAGGAGAAAGAATATCATTACATTATGAAAATATATCTTAAAGAGTATCACAGTTTCCAAGAAGGAGATTGCCTCTACTATTGTGCTAAATACAAATACAGCATTCATGAACAGTCAATTAAAATCAGGTAACAATAGCTAATTCATTATACAGAGATTCCTTACTGACAATGAAATTTACATGAGCTAAGACATTTGTTACATCTATACTGCACAAAAAAAGCAGACTTTTTCCAAATGCAACATTAGTTACAAAATCCCATCAGTATTATTTGATCTTTAAATATCATAAAAATACAGTTTTGTTCTTTATTTTGAGATTTGTAAATGGAGACCATAACAAGATCTAAATTCATGTGGAATTAGAGAGATGTACAAAATTTTTAATAAAACAACAATCCTGTCTTTAAAACTGACACAACCATAAAATATTTGAAGTTCATAATCATCCTTCATGAAGACCACATGAAATAAACTTTTACAAGACATCTTACAAAGTTATTAAAAATGCCAGAGTACTTGTTATGTATATCACTAAGTACAGTGAGTCTGTATTAAAACCTACACAGGTTGGCCATCATTAATTCAGCATAACTGGGAACTGTAGTGTGCTGGATTAGTGAGTTTGCTGGATTAGAGAGTGGTTAGGTTAGAATACACTTAATTAACCTATCAATAGAAACTCTTTCTGCTACATCTTACTCATTTTCATCACTGCTTTCTCGTCCACTGGCTTGCTGCTGTGGATTTACAACCATCTGCACAATTTCTGAGTCAGTATAATGACGAAATTTGAGTCAGTATAATGATTTGAGTCAGTATGATGAAATTTGAAATTATGCTAGCCGAAATTAGCACCATATTACTGATGGAACTGGATTAGTGATGGCCGACCTGTATATCTGAATAACACAACCCTTTTTCATTATTTGTCAGCAAGTAGAACACCTGATCAACTACTCCACTCAAAACATTCTGTTTCATTCTGAACATAATATTTGCATTTCAGGGGCCAAACTCTTGGACAATTACATCACACAAACTAATGAAAAGATGTTACGACTTCAAATACCAATAAAAGAACTCATACAATAGGGGTGACATCATCATCTTCCTCATTATCTACCATTCTGATGTCTTGACCTCTCCTGCCAAAGACGTGCAGTGATGGAAGATTTTCACACATGCCAGAAAATAAACCAAACTTGCGATGTAGCAAGGCTAAGGCTACCACCACGAGGAGTAGGAAGAACGTAAGGCCTAAACCCAAACCTAGACCCAAATGGCTGCTTGATGGCTCTGAGGAGAAATAAATTATTAATATTAATTATGTACACTACAAATGTATACTGATTTTATACTGTAATTTTAGATTTTGATTAAAAATGCTGAATTATTTGTGTATTGTTCCAGTCATGGTATTGTGCCTTTTTGTTATTTACTAAAAATTTGTTGCACAGCAAAAATTTATTATGGGAAACTAAACTCCATAAAAAGCTAAACAGTTTTACTTTTTTTTTAACACACTGGCTGTATCCTACTGAGGTAGGGTGACTCAAAAAAGAAACACTTTCACCATCATTCACACTATAACTGTCTTGCCAGAGGCAAGCAGATACAGCAGCTCAGATGATCCTACAAGCACACTGGCCATTCTCCGAGGTAGGGTGATCCTTCCACCCCTGGGAGGGAACAGAGTACAGCTCTGTTCCTGCAACCATAAATACTGTAGTGGTTTCGATGGCTTGATGTGCTGTTGGAGAGCAAGCAAGGTAACATTTATGAAGGGATTCAAGGAAATCAATTAGCAGACTTGAATCCTTGAGGTTGGAATTACAGTGCCTGCACTCTAAAGGAGGGAGAAGAATGCTGCAGTTTGGAGGGGCATCAGAACTGTGATGTTTGCATGCTTCTGGCAAGAGAGTGATTGACTGAATGATGATGAATGATTCCTCTTTTATGGATCACCCTACCATGGTAGGGGACAGCTGGAGTGTTAAAAAATACAAAGAGGTATATAATATAATTACAGAGCAAAAATGTTGGTTTAATAAAAGCTAATTCTTCAGCTTGTGTCCTTTCTTCTATATAGGTCAGAATGAAAAGGAGAGTAAATGAAGTGTACCTCTCTCAATACTTCTGATAGGTATATAAGCAGATAGTTTATGCATAAAATAAAGGAAAAATAACAGACTGAAGAAAGTTATAGAAATGTTATGATGAAAGATGTCTGTAAATGGATGCAAAAATGGGAAGGTATCAGAGTATAGTGGTGTCAGTGCTTTTTACAACAACAACAACAACAACAACAAAAAAAGAGGCTGGATGTAGTGAACATGTATTGTCTGAAATCAATAAGTGTGAATATTATGCACAGTGCCTGCACTCTGAAGCAGAGGTGGGGATGCTGCAGTCAGAAGGGGTAATCTGGTTGTGACAACAGCAAAGGCGACTGAATGTTGGTGGATATATTTTCTTTGGGTCACCCCACCTTGCTGGGAGATGGCTGATGTGCTAAAAAATATTATAAATAGATCATCAAAAAAACAGCCAGTGAGGAGATTTAAGCATTATTCACAATTCTGCTCATGTTGTACACAGTACTACAGTACACAGTATAGTTTTATCAAACAAACAAGTAGTAGATAACAAGAGTCACACAATGGGCAAAACGTTTTTAAATAAAAGGCTTACTCTGAGTGTCACTGATTCACCATATAGACACATTAAAGAAATTATATTTTTCTAAATACAGTAGAACCCCCATATCCATTGATTCGGTATCTGTGATTTCAGTTATCCACGGTTTACTGTGGCCCAAAAATACCTCTTAATTTTGCATAATAATGGTCCCAAAGCACAAAAGTGCTTCAAAGCCTAAGAAAAGCCATGAAGTGCTTCCCATCAATGAAAAAGTGATAATTCTCCAATTATTGTGCATAATTTATCAATTAAACTTTATAATAGGCATTTTTTTTTTTTTTTTTTTTCAACAAGTCGGCCGTCTCCCACCGAGGCAGGGTGACCCAAAAAAGAAAGAAAATCCCCAAAAAGAAAATACTTTCATCATCATTCAACACTTTCACCACACTCGCACATTATCACTGTTTTTGCAGAGGTGCTCAGAATACAACAGTCTAGAAGCATACACATATAAAGATACACAACATATTCCTCCAAACTGCCAATATCCCAAACCCCTCCTTTAAAGTGCAGGCATTGTACTTCCCATTTCCAGGACTCAAGTCCGACTATATGAAAATAACCGGTTTCCCTGAATCCCTTCACTAAAAAATTACCCTGCTCACACTCCAACAGATCGTCAGGTCCAAGTACCATTTTGTCTCCATTCACTCCCACCAACACGCTCACGCACGCTTGCTGGAAGTCCAAGCCCCTTACCCACAAAACCTCCTTTACCCCCTCTCTCCAACCCTTTCGAGGACGACCCCTACCCCGCCTTCCTTCCCCTATAGATTATATGCTTTCCATGTCATTCTACTTTGATCCATTCTCTCTAAATGACCAACCACCTCAACAACCCCCCTTCTGCCCTCTGACTAATACTTTTATTAACTCCACACCTTCCTCCTAATTTCCACACTCCGAATTTTCTGCATAATATTTACACCACACATTGCCCTTAAACAGGACATCTCCACTGCCTCCAACCGTCTCCTCGCTGGCATTTACCACCCAAGCTTCACACCCATATAAGAGTGTTGGTACTACTATACTTTCATACATTCCCTTCTTTGCCTCCATAGATAACGTTTTTTGACTCCACATATACCTCAACGCACCACTCACCTTTTTTCCCTCATCAATTCTATGATTAACCTCATCCTTCATAAATCCATCCGCCGACACGTCAACTCCCAAGTATCTGAAAAACATTCACTTCTTCCATACTCCTCCTCCCCAATTTGATATCCAATTTTTCTTTATCTAAATCATTTGACACCCTCATCACCTTACTCTTTTCTATGTTCACTTTCAACTTTCTACCTTTACACACATTCCCAAACTCATCCACTAACCTTTGCAATTTTTCTTTAGAATCTCCCATAAGCACAGTATCATCAGCAAAAAGTAACTGTGTCAATTCCCATTTTGAATTTGATTCCCCATAATTTAATCCCAACCCCTCTCCCAAACACCCTAGCATTTACTTCCTTAACAACCCCATCTATAAATATATTAAACAACCATGGTGACATTACACATCCCTGTCTAAGACCTACTTTTACCGGGAAGTATTCTCCCCTCTCTTCTACACACCCTAACCTGAGCCTCACTATCCTCATAAAAAACTCTTTACAGCATTTAATAACTTACCACCTATTCCATATACTTGCAACATCTGCCACATTGCTCCTCTATCCACTCTATCATATGCCTTTTCTAAATCCATAAATGCAATAAAAACTTCCCTATCTTTATCTAAATACTGTTCACATATATGCTTCAATGTAAACACCTGAATCTACACATCCCCTACCCACTCTAAAACCTCCTTGCTCATCCGCAATCCTACATTCTGTCTTACCTCTAATTCTTTCAATTATAACCCTACCGTACACTTTTCCTGGTATACTCAGTAAGCTTATTCCTCTATAATTTTTACAGTCTCTTTTGTCCCCTTTCCCTTTATATAAAGGACTATACATGCTCTCTGCCAATCCCTAGGTACCTTCCCCTCTTTCATACATTTATTAAACAAAAGTACCAACCACTCCAACACTATATCCCCCCTGCTTTTAACATTCTGTCATGATCCCATCAGTTCCAGCTGCTTTACCCCCTTTCATTTTACGTAATGCCTCACGTACCTCCCCCACACTTACATTCTGCTCTTCTTCACTCCTAAAAGATGGTATACCTCCCTGACCAGTGCATGAAATTACTGCCTCTGTTTCTTCCTTAACATTTAAAAGTTCCTCAAAATATTCTCGCCATCTACCCAATACCTCCATCTCCCCATCTACTAACTCCCCTACTCTGTTTTTAACTGACAAATCCATATTTTCCCTAGGCTTTCTTAACTTGTTTAACTCACTCCAAAATTTTTTCTTATTTTCATTAAAATTTCTTGACAAGTGCCTCTCCCACTCTATCATCTGCTCTCCTTTTGCACTCTCTCACCACTCTCTTTACCTTTCTTTTACTCTCCATATACTCTGCTCTTCTTATAACACTTCTGCTTTGTAAAAACCTCTCATAAGCTACCTTTTTTCTCTTTTATCACACCCTTTACTTCATCATTCCACCAATCACTCCTCTTTCCTCCTGCCCCCACCCTCCTATAACCACAAACTCTGCCCCACATTCTAATACTGCATTTTTAAAACTATTCCAACCCTCTTCAACCCCCCACTACTCATCTTTGCACTAGCCCACTTTCTGCCAATAGTCGCTTATATCTCACCCGAACTTCCTCCTCCCTTAGTTTATACACTTTCACCTCCCTCTTACTTGTTGTTGCCACCTTCCTCTTTTCCCATCTACCTCTTACTCTAACTGTAGCTACAACTAAATAATGATCCGATATATCAGTTGCCCCTCTATAAACATGTACATCCTGGAGCCTACCCATCAACCTTTTATCCACCAATACATAATCTAATAAACTACTTTCATTACGTGCTACATCATACCTTGTATATTTATTTATCCTCTTTTTCATAAAATATGTATTACTTATTACCAAATTTCTTTCTACACATAGCTCAATTAAAGGCTCCCCATTTACATTTACCCCTGGCACCCCAAATTTACCTACTACTCCTTCCATAACATTTTTACCCACTTTAGCATTGAAATCCCCAACCACCATTACTCTCACACTTGATTCAAAACTCCCCATGCATTCACTCAACATTTCCCAAAATCTCTCTCTCTCCTCTACACTTCTCTCTTCTCCAGGTGCATACACGCTTATTATAACCCACTTTTCACATCCAATCTTTATTTTACTCCACATAATCCTTGAATTTATACATTTATAGTCCCTCTTTTCCTGCCATAGCTTATCCTTCAACATTATTGCTACTCCTTCTTTAGCTCTAACTCTATTTGAAACCCCTGACCTAATCCCATTTATTCCTCTCCACTGAAACTCTCCCACCCCCTTCAGCTTTGTTTCACTTAAAGCCAGGACATCCAGCTTCTTCTCATTCATAACATCCACAATCATCTCTTTCTTATCATCTGCACAACATCCACGCACATTCAGACTTCCCACTTTGACAATGTATAGGTATAATAGGTATGTATGGGTGTGAAGCGTGGGTGGTAAATGCAGCAGCGAGGAGACGGTTGAAGGCAGTGGAGATGTCCTGTCTCAGGGCAATGTTATTTTTTTTTTTTATTATCACACTGGCCGATTCCCACCAAGGCAGGGTGGCCCGAAAAAGAAAAACTTTCACCATCATTCACTCCATCACTGTCTTGCCAGAAGGGTGCTTTACACTACAGTTTTTAAACTGCAACATTAACACCCCTCCTTCAGAGTGCAGGCACTGTATTTCCCATCTCCAGGACTCAAGTCCGGCCTGCCGGTTTCCCTGAACCCCTTCATAAATGTTACTTTGCTCACACTCCAACAGCACGTCAAGTATTAAAAACCATTTGTCTCCATTCACTCCTATCAAACACGCTCACGCATGCCTGCTGGAAGTCCAAACCCTTCGCACACAAAACCTCCTTTACCCCCTCCCTCCAACCTTTCCTAGGCCGACCCCTACCCCGCCTTCCTTCCACTACAGACTGATACACTCTTGAAGTCATTCAGTTTCGCTCCATTCTCTCTACATGTCCGAACCACCTCAACAACCTTTCCTCAGCCCTCTGGACAACAGTTTTGGTAATCCCGCACCTCCTCCTAACTTCCAAACTATGAATTCTCTGCATTATATTCACACCACACATTGCCCTCAGATATGACATCTCCACTGCCTCCAGCCTTCTCCTCGCTGCAACATTCATCACCCATGCTTCACACCCATATAAGAGCGTTGGTAAAACTATACTCTCATACATTCCCCTCTTTGCCTCCAAGGACAAAGTTCTTTGTCTCCACAGACTCCTAAGTGCACCACTCACCCTTTTCCCCTCATCAATTCTATGATTCACCTCATCTTTCATAGACCCATCCGCTGACACGTCCACTCCCAAATATCTGAATACATTCACCTCCTCCATACCCTCTCCCTCCAATCTGATATCCAATCTTTCATCACCTAATCTTTTAGTTATCCTCATAACCTTACTCTTTCCTGTATTCACTTTTAATTTTCTTCTTTTGCATACCCTACCAAATTCATCCACCAATCTCTGCAACTTCTCTTCAGAATCTCCAAAGAGCACAGTGTCATCAGCAAAGAGCAACTGTGACAACCTCCCACTTTATGTGTGATTCTTTATCTTTTAACTCCACGCCTCTTGCCAAGACCCTCGCATTTACTTCTCTTACAACCCCATCTATAAATATATTAAACAACCACGGTGACATCACACATCCTTGTCTAAGGCCTACTTTTACTGGGAAAAAGTAGTGGTGTAAATATTATGCAGAAAATTCGGAGTGTGGAAATTAGGAAAAGGTGTGGAGTTAATAAAAGTATTAGTCAGAGGGCAGAAGAGGGGTTGTTGAGGTGGTTTGGTCATTTAGAGAGAATGAATCAAAGTAGAATGAGATGGAAAGCATATAAATCTATAGGGGAAGGAAGGCGAGGTAGGGGTCGTCCTCGAAAGGGTTGGAGAGAGGGGGTAAAGGAGGTTTTGTGGGCGAGGGGCTTGGACTTCCAGCAAGCGTGCATGAGCGTGTTCGATAGGAGTGAATGGAGACGAATGGTACTTGGGACCTGACGATCTGTTGGAATGTGAGCAGGGTAATATTTAGTGAAGGGATTCAGGGAAACCGGTTATTTTCATATAGTCGGACTTGAGTCCTGGAAATGGGAAGTACAATGCCTGCACTTTAAAGGAGGGGTTTGGGATATTGGCAGTTTGGAGGGATATGTTGTGTATCTTTATACGTATATGCTTCTAAACTGTTGTATTCTGAGCACCTCTGCAAAAACAGTGATAAGGTGTGTGTGGTGAAAGTGTTGAATGATGATGAAAGCATTTTCTTTTAGGGGATTTTCTTTCTTTTTTGGGTCACCCTGCCTCGGTGGGAGACGGCCGACTTGTTGAAAAAAAAAAAATATATAGGATTTATATATAGGGTTTGCTACTATCTGCGGTTTCGGTATCCATGGCAGGGCCTTGAAACATCCCTGCAAATACAGAGGTTCTACTGTATTTTTTTAAAATTCCCTCTAAGGAAGTTTACGTAAACTTGTGGCAACATACCTGATGGAGCATTTTCCTCTTCACATTTGCGAGTTTCATTATTCATTATGAATGGAGGCAGACATTTACAGACACCAGTATTTTCGTGTACTTGAACACACGTCTCATTAATGTTACATGCCCGCAAAACATTAAGGGAACATTTCTGAAAAAGGAATATTTACTTAACCCAACATATTCATGAAGCACAAAAATTATTACTGTACAAGAAAAGTACATGTTTAAGAATCTTGGATAAATGTGATTGCATTACACAAATAACCCGCACATAGAAGAGAGGTTTGCTACTATCCGCGGTTTCGGTATCCACGGCAGGGCATTGAAACATCCCTGCGGGTTATTTGTGTATTGTTCCAGTCAGAGTATTGTGCCTTTTTTTTTTTTGTTTTTGTTATTTGTGATTGTATTAGTAAAATAGAAAGTCTGCTATCAGATTATACCAAGTTTAGATTAATTTCCCCAGAGCCCTTTACATACAGTGGACCCCCAGTTTGCGTTATTAATCTGTTCCTGAGAGCTCATTGTAAACCAAAATTATAGAAAAGCGAATCAATTTTCCCCATAAGAAATAATGGAAATAAAATTAATCCGTGCAAGACACCCAAAAGTATGAAAAGAAAAATTTTACCACATGAAATATTAAGTTTAATGCACACAAACTGAGGAAGACATGCACAGTTTGTAGTACAGTGGACCCCCGGTTAATGATATTTTTTCACTCCAGAAGTATGTTCAGGTGCCAGTACTGACCGAATTTGTTCCCATAAGGAATATTGTGAAGTAGATTAGTCCATTTCAGACCCCCAAACATACACGTACAAACGCACTTACATAAATACACTTACATAATTGGTCGCATTCGGAGGTGATTGTTATGCGGGGGTCCACTGTACTCTACTAACAATAGAATACATGACACTTACTTTTAATGAAGATCTGGTGATGATTGATGGGATGGGAGGAGGGGAGAGTGTTGAAGTTGTTAATGTTTAGAAGGGGAATCCCCTTCCATTAGGACTTGAGGTAGCAAGTCCTTTTCCGGGGTAACTTCCCTTCTTCTTTTAATGCCACCAGGACCAGCTTGAGAGTCACTGGACGTCTGTTGCACAACATATCTGTCCATAGAGGCCTGCACCTCTCGTTCTTTTATGACTTTCCTAAAGTGGTTCACAACATTGTCAGTGTACAGGTTGCCAACACGGCTTGCAGTAGCTGTGTCAGGGTGATTTTCATCAAAAAAGGTTTGCACTTCAAGCCACTTTGGACACATTTCCTTAATCTTTGAAGTAGGCAACTTCTTCAAGTTCTCTATCCCCTCCTCTGAAGCAGTTTCCTCAGGTCTGGCCTCTTGCTGTTGAAGATGATCTAGCAGCTCATCAGTGGTTAGTTCGTCATTGTCCCCCTCCACCAACTCTTCCACATCCTCCTCACTAACCTCCAACCCCAAGGACTTTCCCAATGCCACAATGGATTCCTCAACTGGCATAGGATTCCCAGGGTTAGCCTCAAACCCTTCAAAATCCCTTCTGTCTACACATTCTGGCCACAGTTTTTTCCAAGCAGAGTTCAAGGTCCTCTTAGTCACTCCCTCCCAAGCCTTACCTATAAGGTTTACACAATTGAGGATATTAAAGTGATCCTTCCAAAACTCTTTTAGAGTCAATAGAGTGTCTGTGGTCACTTCAAAGCACCTTTCAAACACAGCTTTTGTGTACAGTTTCTTGAAGTTGGAAATGACCTGCTGGTCCATGGGCTGCAGGAGAGGAGTGGTATTAGGAGGGAAAAACTTGATGTTAATGAAGCTCATGTCCCCAGAAAGTCACTCTGCCAAGTCTGCAGGATGACCAGGAGCATTGTCTAATACCAGGAGGCACTTAAGGTCTAATTTCTTTTCAATTAGGTAATTTTTCACATTGGGGGCAAATGCATGGTGTAACCAGTCATAGAAAAAGTCCCTAGTGACCCATGCCTTACTGTTTGCCCTCCACAGCACACACAAATTAGCCTTGAGGATATTATTTTGCCTGAACGCTCTGGGAGTTTCTGAGTGATACACCAATAAAGGCTTCACTTTGCAATCACCACTAGCATTGGCACACATCAGAAGAGTAAGCCTGTCTTTCATAGGCTTATGTCCTGGGAGTGCCTTTTCCTCCTGAGTAATGTAGGTCCTGCTTGGCAATTTCTTCCAAAACAGGCCTGTTTCATCGCAATTAAACACTTGTTCAGGTTTCAAGTCTTCACTGTCAATGTAATCCTTGAATTCCTTCACATAATTTTCAGCTGCTTTTTGGTCCGAACTGGCAGCCTCACCATGCCTAATCACACTATGTATGCCACTACGATTCTTAAATCTTTCAAACCAACCTTTGCTGGCCTTAAATTCACTCACATCACCACTAGTTGCAGGCAATTTCTTTACCAAATCGTCATGCAACTGCCTAGCCTTTTCACAAATGATCGCTTGAGAGATGCTATCTCCTGCTATCTGTTTTTCATTTATCCACACCAATAACAGTCTCTCAACATCTTCTAACACTTGCGGTCTCTGTTTCGAAAACAAAGTTGCACCTTTTGCAACAACAGCTTCCTTGATTGCTGTTTTCCTGGCCACTATAGTAACGATGGTTGATTGGGGTTTGGTATACAACCTGGCCAGCTCTGACACACGCACTCCACTTTCATACTTTGCAATTATCTCTTTCTTCATTTCAATAGTCATTAGCACCCTTTTTCTCGAAGGGTTGGCACTAGAAGCTTTCTTGGGGCGCATGGTGACTTATTTTGCAGAAACAAGCATCAAAAACACTGTGATAATATGGAATGTACCGAATGTATCCTTAGATGTGAGCACACTGGCTGGCTTGTAAACACTGGCACACATGGGGCAGTTCAGGCCACACATGGACACGTCTCGGACGAATCGCGTATACCAGGTTTTTTAACGGGAACCGAGGCAAAATTTTTGCATTAGAATGTATCACATACCGGATTTATCGGATACCGATGGCATCGCGAACCAGGGGTCCACTGTATACAGAATACTTAACCCTTTTACTGTCCAGACCCTTGATCTAAAACTTGTTCACAGTGTCCAAGAATTTTCAAGGAAATTTTTTGTTATGAAATGGTAGAGAATCCTTTTCTGAAGGTAATAAAACAAAAAGTACAAAATATGATGGAAAATTGATGAAATTGCACTTCTGCGAATTTTGCTGTGTCAGCGATATTTATGCATCGGCGATTTTGGCCACTCTGAGTCCTATTTTAGGCCATGTATATTATTCCAGTTGACCAAATTGTTAACTATTTCACTAGTATGTCTTCCATTTTATCAACTAAGGACAAGAAATTGCCCTATAAAGTGATGAGAAATTTGAGAGTATTCCAATATCAAAACAGGGTTGAGAATAAACAATGCAGGCATTCCTGGCACTAAAATAAAAATTTTTCTGTTCATTAGTTATGTTCCCAGGCATTACACATGAATTCCATTTTTATTTTTTTATTCACACAAAGAATTTTATTTACCCACAAAATAGAAGATTTATTCTTATGCAATATTGTCATAACTGTATAAATAATATCAGTGCATTTGTGAACATATATTAGACTGACCAATTGGACGTGTATTGGATGAGTGATGTGATTTATTTACTCTTAAATATCGGCAAAAATCGAACATATCAGCTAGCTTTGAGCTCAATTTCTAGCAATTTTCAGTCCTGAAACCAATTAGTCATCTCTATTTCTGTAATATATCTTCCATTCTATCAAATGAGACCAAGAAACTGAGAATACAACCACAAAAACCATACAAAAATACACCGTAAAGTCGCTGTTTTAAATGAAAAACACTGGCACAGGTTTTTCTTATTATGCACTGCGTGCTGCAGTATTTTTTTTATATGGTGCACACTTACTGCATCAACCCATTCTCTCATATCTAGGCCCAAATTTACTGCTCACAGCTTATATGAGTGAGCCGAGCTCATGGCATGCTACTACAGCATGGCCAGTGAGCTCAAAGGCATAGTACTAAGGTACAAAAATAACAGAGAAGAGAGAAGCTCATGACAAAGTTTCAGTCCGTCTTGGATTGAAACATTGTTGTAAGCCTCTCTTTTCTATATGCAAGTTATTTATGCATTCTTCCAATCACAGTATTGTGCCTTTCTTTTCTTTGTAGTACTACGGCACAGCCAGTGAAGGGGTTAAATTAGAAGATAAATTAAACAGTGTGCTTAGAAGTCTGAAAGATGGTGCTCTTCTAAAGGAAACATTTTGAACTTTTTGCTTCTGGATCTGTTCCTGAGATATATGGTTTACCCAAGAGTCATAAATTATATGTAACACTGAGAAATTTTATCAGCCATTAGTACTTTAACCCCTTGACTGTCGCAACCCCAAATCCTGAGGTGTCTCCTGGTGTTGCAAAATTTCCCTCCCTCCCCCCAATTTTTTTTTTCTTATGAAATGATAGAGAATCTTTTCCCGATTGTAATGACACCAAAAGAACAAAATTTGATGGAAAACTGACGGAATTACGCTCTCACGAAGTTAGCGACCTCGGCGATATTTACAAATCGGCAATTTCGCCCACTTTGAGCTCTATTTTCGGCTAATTCCATTGTTCCAGTCGACCAATCTCATAGCTATTTCTTCAGAACTCCATTTTTTTCTATTGATTGAGTACAAGAAACTGCCCATTTACCAATTTCAACTACCCAATAATGTGGTCAGAAATTTGCAATTTGGCCAATTTCACGAAAATTAAAAAATATGATAATTTCAAAATAGGATCCAGAATGAACAATGCAGACATTCCTGGCTCTAAAATGACATTTTCTTTGTTCATCAGTCACGTCTCCAGGCCCCTCTGATATTACTCTTGCTTTCTATTTTGAATTTTTATTCAAACAAAAAATAGAAGATTTACTGTTATGCAGGCTACTGTAATATTGTAATAATTGTATAAATAATGTCAACCCATTCATGACTGCATATATATTAGAATGGCTACTTGGACATTTATTGGAAAATGAGATCATTTGTTTATTGAACATTGGCAAAAATCAAACATTTCCCCTAATTTGAGCTCCATTTCAAGGTTCTTTTCATAGTAAAACCAATCAAAATCACCTCTATTTCTATAATATGTTTTCCATTCTATCAAATGAGACCAAGAAAACGAGAATACAGCCATAAATACTATATGAAAATAGACCACAAAGTCAACATTTTAATTAAAAAACAACAGTCGGAGTTTTTTTTTCTCATTATGCACTGCGTGCTGCAGGATTTTTTTTATATGGTGCACACTGACCACACAGACCCATTCTCTCACATGTGGGCCTACCATCTTTCTCCTGCTTGATTTGAAGCCGCTAGAATTTATGAGTATACGTATATACATCAAAAACGGTGGCTCGTAAGACGCATATATACGACCAAAACAGTCAAAGGGTTAAACTACAACTTAGGCAAATTTTCTGTTCCACTGTTGGAGCCTCTACAGTTAACTCATTTACTGTACAGAATGCTTTCTCATTTGTGCAAGAAATTACGAGCTTAAACTTGGGATTTCCTTTCATTATGGCAAGCTCTGATATAGAATCTTTAATTACTAATACAGTATATGTACTTTTATTAGAAGTAGACACTATCTTTGTTAATTCTTTATTTGCTGAATCTAAATTAGTACAGGGACTTAACAAAAACAACCGAGTTCTTTGTTGAAAATGTTTGTTCACGATTTTATTTACATGTTAACCCTTTCAGGGTTGGTGCCATACAAGTACGATTTGCACGCCAGGGTTGGTGCCATACTAGTACACGTAAATTCTAGCATTTTCAAATATAGCGAGAGAAAGCTGGTAGGCCTACATATGAAAGAATGGGTCTATGTGGTCAGTGTGCACAGTATAAAAACAAAATCCTGCAGCACACAGTGCATAATGAGAAAAAAAAAAACTCCGATCGCGTTTTTGGTTTAAAACAGCGACTTTGCAATGCATTTTCGTATGCTATTTATTGTTGTATTCTAGTTTTCCTGGTCTCTTTTTATAGAATGGAAGACATATTACGGAAATTGAAATTATTTTTATTGGTTTCACAATGAAAAGTAGCAGAAATGTTCGATTTTTGCCAAATTCAAAAGTAAATAAATCAAGCCACACGTCCAATACACGTCAACTTGCGAGTCTAATATTCTTTCACAAGTGCGCTGATATTATTTATACCATTTCTACACTAATGCAGTAGTCTGTATAAAAGTAAATCTTCTATTATTTGTGAGAATAAAAATTCAAAGTGGAAAGCAAAAGAAATGTAACAGAGGCCTGGGGATGTGACTAATGAAGAGAGGAAATGTTATTTTAGTGCCAGGAATGTCTTTCTTGTTTATTCTGGACCTTATTTGGAAATTGGCATCTTTTGAAATTTGTGTGAAATTGGCAAAATTGCCAATTTCGGACCACTTTATTGAATAGTTGAAATCTGTAAATGGGTGGCTTCTTATACTCATTCGATAGAAAAAATGGAGTTCTAGCGAAATAGTTATGATTTTTGTCGACTGGTACATTGGAATTGGCCGAAAATAGGGCTTAAAAAGAGCAAAATCTCCGATGCGCAAACATCGTCAAGACCACTAACTTTGCCAGAGCATAATTTCGTAAGTTTTCCATCAAATTTCATACTTTTGGTGTCAATATGATCAAGAAAAGATTCTCTATCATTTCATAAGAAAAAGTAATTTTTTTTTTTCAAAAAATTTCTGACCCTGAGAACAAATTTAGGAGAGGGCCTGCTGACCCTGAAAGGGTTAAATGAGCATGTTATTGATGCTGCAATGGACTCTTGGATTCACTTTTGCTAATGATTTTCCTCTATTTTCCTGAAACAACTTGGCTTGATAATTGTCCTGTTGAATTTAAACCTGTATTTTACAGATGTTATGTTGGTGATTGGTGGCGATACATTTTGCTACTCAAAAAGGAAGAATATGTTATGATGTTCAAAGATTATCTAAATTCACAGCACAAAAATAATCATTAAATCATTTACTGTAGAAGTTCAAACAGAGAATACCCTTTTATTCCTAGACATTTTAATTACAGCAATGTTAAAAGATTTTGAGACTTTTGTGTACTATAAACCAACACTCACTGGTCTAGGCTTAAATTATTTATCCTCTGTTCCAAATCTGTTTAAATTTAATGCCATTAGAACTCTAATTCATTAAGGATTCTTACTTTCTTATAATTGGATAAATTTTGATTTGAAACTGAACAAAATAACTATTTTTTTTTCAAAATAACATCACCCTTTACATGCTATTCAGTTTATATGAAATATTGGGATAAAAAGTTTAACACCTAAGTCAGTATATGCCAGTAATAGAGATATTAAGTAGTATATTGGATTTCCTTACAATGACCATGTTAGTTTTGCCATTAGAAATAAACTTTAGCATTACTGCTTGAATTTTAACCTAACCTAACAAAGTCATGCTTGTTTCCAGTCTGCATTAAGTCAGCCCTGTCCTGAAATTGTGTGTGTGGTTTTTACTAGCTTTCTTGTCCATCTCTAAGCTGTTCCTGCCCAAACCAACCCACCCCCCAAATAAGCCTATGGGTTAACTTTCAATGTTTTAAAATTGTTTCTTACTTTTATTGTGATATATTTTGGATTGTGATGATGGATGAAGAAATAAACAAAACATCAATAGAGATTGGGTATTCACTACAGATGGTGTTTGTCGCAGCTTTGGTCCTGCTTTTGATATTGTATTGCGTACACAAGCATTATTCCTTCTTTGAAGGAATAATATATTATGACCTAACCTATCTGAACAATTACTTATAATAAATAATAAGTTTATATTTAAAAAATATATATTTTTTTTTTTACAAAATTTGGTGTCATTTATTACAAGTATAATTTTCAGCATGGTTCCCATACTGTTTACAGAAAAGTTAGGTTAGGTAAGGTTTGTCAGGAAACAGGACAAGTGTTTCCTAATGTGGGTCTTCGTTACATGACAACCCACAGCTGGAGCTTTTGGTCATCTGACTGAGGCCTTCCACAGGCTTACCCATCCACCACTTTAAAAATTATAGTTATGTATAATTATAACCATTAGATACCTAAGAGAGAAGGTTGTTCACTCACTTGTCCCACAGCATATGATGAAGGCACAAGCTGAATCAGAAAAAAGATGGCAAAAAAGGCCAATCTAATCCCCGACATTTTCGTACTTGTCATATTGGTAGTTCTCGTCCAGCACCACAACTCATCCAGCCAAAACCTTTTCATGTCCGACAAGTTCACCTGTGTGGCTGTGGCCGTGTGTTCCACAGCCCAGTGCATTACCACCCACACACCTGCAAATTATTTTTTTGATTTAAATATAATAATTTTGCTAATAACAATTTTAATAACAGTAACTTTGGATTTTATTATTACTGACTGCCTGTTTTTCATAGAAATTTGGCAAGCACTCACGCACAGCTATAAATACAACAATGGTGAAGAAGAAGAAATAAAATAAGATGCTAAAGTGTATATTCAAGATACACTGTTATGAACTTTAAAGGTGAGATCCCGACATGATCACTCCCAGGTCTTTTACATTAGTTTTTCGCTCTATCACATGGTTGGAATTTGTTTCATACTCCGATATAGTTTTAATTTCCTCGTGTTTTCCATATCGGAGTAATTGAAATTTCTCATCATTGAACTTCATATTGTTTTCTGCGGCCCATTTAAAGATTCGGTTGATGTCCGCCTGGAGTCTTGCAGTGTCTTCAATGGAGGACAATGTCATGCAAATCTGGGTGTCATCTGCTAAGGAAGACACAGTGCTGTGGCTTACATCCCTGTCTGTCAGATATGAGGATGAGGAACAGGATGGGAGCGAGTACTGTGCCTTGTGGAACAGAGCTCTTCACCGTAGCTGCCTTGGATTTTACTATGTTTATTATTACTCTTTGTGTTCTATTTGTTAGGAAATTATAGATCCATCTACCAACTTTCCTGTTATTCCTTTATCATGCATTATGTGCGCTATTACACCATGGTCACATTTGTCAAAGGCTTTTGTGAAGTCTGTGTATATTACATCTGCATTTTCATTCTTCTAGAGCATCCAGGATCTTGTCATAGTGGTCCAGTAGTTAGGACAGACAGGAGCGACCTGCTCTAAACCCATGTTGCCCTGGGTTGTGTAATTGATGGGTGGCAATTTTGCTTCTTAAAACCCTTTCAAAGATTTTTATGATATGGGATGTTAGTGCTATTGGTCTGTAGTTCTTTGTTATTGCTTTACTGCCCCCTTTGTGGAGTGGGGCTATGTCTGTTGTTTTTAGTAACTGTGGGACGACCCCCGTGTCCATACTCCCTCTCCATAGGATGGTAAAAGCACATGATAGGCGCTTCTTGCAGTTCTTGATGAACACGGAGTTCCACGAGTCTGGGCCTAGGGCAGGGTGCATGGACATGTCATTTATTACCTTTTTGAAGTCATGTGGCATCAGGATAATATCAGATAGGTTCGAGTCTACCAAATTCTCTCTGTCATAAAATATTCATTTAGGTAATCGACTCTCAGTCTGGTTAGCGGCTCACTAAAAACTGAGTCATGTTGGGACTTCAGTAGCTCACTCATTTCCTTGACATAATACATAATGACATAATAGTGAAAAAAGGACACTCTTCCTGTAGCTATAATAAAAAGCAATTGGTTTGCGTGCAGCCAGCAGCAACAGCCTGGTTGATCAGGCTCTGATCCACCAGGAGGCCTGGTCACAGACCGGGCCGCGGGGGCGTTGACCCCCGGAACTCTCTCCAGGTAAACTCTCCAGGTAATAGGCAATTACATAATATACAAAATTTTGGATGATAGTCTTAAAGCTAAACAGGGTTTATAGACTTATATTACATTTACATTATGCAACTATAACCTATCATTATTATAATGATAACCAAGTGCTAAACCCATAAGGGTACTATAGCCTATGATAAAATAGTCAATATATGGGCCAGGAGCTGTGAATCGACCCTTGCAACCACATATAGGTGATGTAATGCCCACGGGTATGGGCAGACATGTATTAGAAATATTATTGCCGTGGGGGAAGCGCTAAACCCTTGGGGGGTTCACACACCACCTAGGGAACGGGAGGCAATCAAATTCGACCCAAGGAGAGGAAGAAGAGCTCCAGTTCCTCGAATCAAGAGCCTATTAACACTACCAAGGCAAACCTCCATGAAGGGATACACAGACGAACCTTCCATCGAAACTACGTTTCCCTTTACCCTTGGCGAAACGTGCTCACCGGTACAAGCTCACTCTGTCATAACACACACGTACACACACACCTGCCAGAGCTTCACTCCATGGAGGATAAATGTAGCGAGCGAAACAGAGCAACTGTTATCTCGTATCCTAATTATTCCTTCTATCCTCCTGCTGCTGCTGCTGCTGCTGCTGCTGTCTTGTTTACGAATGAGCAGCAACTCATAGAAAATTGTCGCTCCAGCAGCTACCATAGAAAACGTGGCCTTGGAATGACTAACTAATTTAGTTTTTATTTTAATGGGAATTTGTCGGACCCCTCAAGAAGTAAGTTTATTGAGGCATAGGTATCTGTAAGTACAATTATCATACATACTGTAAAATGCATAGGATAAACCCAAAAAGTCAGACAGTGTCTTATTTCCACACCACAGAGAATGTGGTTTGGAAACGGCTAATTTAATTAGTTTTCATTTTAATGGGGATGTGTCAGACCCCTCAGGAAGTAAGTTTATTTAGGTATAGGTACTCATAAGTACAATTATCATACATAGTGTAAACTGACTAGCATAAACAAAAAAGTCAGACAGTGTCTTATTTCCACACATTAAGTAAGTAAGTAAGTTTATTCAGGTATACACAAATACAGTTACATAGAATTATCATACATAGCAGCATATGTGTAGAGAACCTAGGATAACCCAAAAAAGTCAGACAGAGTGACTTATTTCCATTGGGGTCCTTTTGCCTTATTATTATTATAATATAAAGGTTATAATATTTTCTTATTATTCTACAATGAAGATAACATCTTATCATCATACTAAAAAGACTATCTACTACACGAGGGTCATTAAGACTATCTACAATACGAGGGTCATTACTAGGAATAAGGTAAAATTTACACGTATGTTAGCTAAAAAATAGAAAATCATTCCCCTCCCTTTCTGTAGCTACATTCATCAGACACCTTTTGGCACTCTTCTCGAACTGGTTCATGCTATGACTGGCTTTGACATGTGCGGGTAGTCTGTTCCATTCCTTTATTGCTGTACAATAAAAGGTGTTTGACGCCTGGCCACTGACTGTGGGTACTACAAAGTTGTGCTCTCTCCCCCTAGTACTATGATTGCTTTGGTTCCCAACCTTGACAAAATTGACAGCAAGATATTCTGGACACTGTTTGTGAGCAATTTTATAAACATGATTTAGCTTCAGTTGCTTTACTCTGTCTTCAACATTCAGCATATCCAACTGCTGTAATTCATCCTGGCCTACATGTTCTCTTGGTCCCAGCCCCAGGATGAATCTTACGATTTTGTTCTGGGTAATTTGCAGTCTATCTTTCAGTTTTTTTGTCAAGGCAGAGTACCATGAAGAGCAAGCGTAATCCATATGGCATTGTATAAGGGCTAGACATAGGGTCCTGCGAGCATCAGTAGGTAGACACTGTGCTTGTCTATACAGGAACTTCAGTCTGGCATTCGCTTTCTTTACTACACTGTTCCCTATCAATTCTCCTGACATGCATGGGTCAAAGGGGATTCCCAGATATTTTATTGATGAAACCAAAGTGATGGGTTCGATCTCCAGTACGGGTGGAAACATTGGGCGTGTTTGCTTACACCTGCTATCTCTATTCACCCAGCAGCTAGTAGGTACTTGGGTGTTAGCCGACTAGCATAATCAGAGGCTTTCTATATAGTATGTAATTGATATCAGCTGTGGTCTGTGTAAGCTGTATCATGTACTTGTAGAAATAAAGACTGGGGTCCAAATAAAATCTTTTAGCCCTCTTCCCCCTCTTTCATCATCATCGTCATCATCATCACCATCTTTACAATATGCATTGAGAGCAATGGAGCAGCAATGTAGGCAGATAGACAAAAACCGAAAAGTGTGAATAAAGACACTGGTAGCAGCGGATCCTTTTAATGCAACGTTTCGCCCAGACTTGGGCGAGAAGTTGTATTAAAAGGATCCGCCGCTACCAGTGCCTTTATTCACAATGTAGACAGATACCGTAAAGATCAGAGAAATGAGAGAGCAAGGTGAGTTCCCTTACTGTTATTGGCTTATAATTCAAACAAGAGAGAGAGAAAGAGAGACCAGTACCTATGCTAAGCCCACTAGGGGGAAGCTTACTCCAGCTAGGGATATAAGTATAACGTTAAATCAGACTGCTACCTTAAGTTTCCTCATATATAAAACTTATGGAGGTGCCCCTGATCGTACCACTGCAGGATACATCCACCAGTCGTACACTGACTTCTTTGTTCAATCCTACTGCGATTTCTTGATACTTGTCAAGCACTTCGTCATGCATGTTAGCAGACAACAATTTGACAAAAATAACCATTTAGTGTCGTTCATGGCCACACAGTAGAGGTAGCATAGCTAACTCTATACAAAGAAAATTTTTTTTTTTTGAAGTTAAGCATGGATAATATTAAAAGAATATTATTATTATTATTATAATCAAGGGGGAAGCGCTAAACCCAGAGGATTATACAGCGCCTGGGGGGGGATGTGGAAGGCATTCAGGCTTAATTTGGGAAACTGGAGCACAGATCCAATTCCCTAAATCAAGAGCCCCTCACCAACATCAAGGAACCTTCCTTGAGGGGATTAAAAGAATAGGTTTTGTGAGAGGAGCGTAACTAGGAGAAAAGGACCCAGGGCTTAACCCAACTCCTGAGAGTTTTTGGGCTCATCTAGATAAGTTTCAAGAACAGCATGTCATACATTGGAGATCGTAGTCTGCCATCCCTTATGTGTCCTGAACTATTGTTGGCAGCAGCACATTGGGTACTTTTGGCGTGATAACTTCCCTTAGTAACTCGCTACTGGCAGTTTTGATTTGTTTTCTACGAGCCATGAACATAGTGCACACTGCAGGGGTCAAGCTACCCATGAACAATTAATGAGAGCTCAGACCATCCGTCCAGCCAGTCCACTGTAAAGGGGGCGAATGATGGTTGCAATTATTATCTGTGGGTTTGCCTAACTACCTGCGAAAAAGACTTCAATCTGTATTAAATCGCGGAGCTAGACTAGTATTTTGCTCTCATCTGGGATTCCCACTAGTCCCTTCTTGTATGGGCTGCAGTGGCCCAGTATCAACGCAAGAATGGAATATGCACTCAGTTTATTAACTTTCAAAGCTATTAAGTTTTAAGAATCCGAGTATCTTTCTGATATACTACTTATAATTTTTTTTTACATGGAACTTTTCAGAGCTTTTCAGACTGGGTGAGCATCGTGCTTCTGGCAAGAAATCAGTAGCTGAAAGAACTTTTTACTTATGTAGCTCCCAGTCTGTTGAATATGAATGTTCGCACATACGCAACAGAATCTTTCACTGAGCTGAGCAGATGTCCAACATCTGTAGATAAAAGACATATGCATGATGATGAGGCAAGGAAGACATTGTTTATGCAGAGGAATAAGAACTATGATGTCTTCCTGCCTACAAGAGCAGCAATGCTGCAGCTTCCATGGAGCAGCTTATCAGGCAGATCATATCTGGGGCCAGTGTCTTGACCAAAATCCAGCGGTACCCTCAGCAGGCAGCTGGAGATAGAGGAAAAAAATGATAAGGGAAAATAAAATGTGCACTGAACTACCCTGAACCCAGTATCTAAAGAATGCAAGAAACTCTGCTAAAGTGTTTGTAAACGGCCATGCAGTGGAAATTGCAAATGCTGCAGATCAAATTTGCCATGCAAATCAGTTTGTAACGTTCCATGTGAAGTAGAAATATAGCATTGCATGCCTTAAGATAAGATAAGATAAGATTTCGTTCGGATTTTTAACCCCGGAGGGTTAGCCACCCAGGATAACCCAAGAAAGTCAGTGCGTCATCGAGGACTGTCTAACTTATTTCCATTGGGGTCCTTAATCTTGTCCCCCAGGATGCGACCCACACCAGTCGACTAACACCCAGGTACCTATTTGCTGCTAGGTGAACAGGACAATAGGTGTAAGGAAACGTGTCGAATGTTTCCACCCGCCGGGAATCGAACCCGGGCCCTCCGTGTGTGAAGCGGGAGCCTTAGCCACCATGATATTCTTTTAGCATATACTTATATTGTATACTTGGAACATAGAATACAGTTTTTACATGATAATTTTATTATATATAATTGTGATGTGATAAATATGTCAAATGAATCAGTGCCTCTTCTTGTTTGGGAGTACGACACTAGACTTACGATGTTGGACGTATGGAGTTAAATTACCATGTTAGACTTACCTATTGAACTTGCATTAAACTTTGCAACATTAGACTTACAACGTTAGAATTACGACTTTAGACTCAGACATACAATATTATACTTATGATATAAAACTTAGATTTACATTAGTTATCTACCGACGTTAGACTTACGACATTACGCTTATGTCATTAGACTCACGAGATTACACCTACGACATTTAACTTACGACTTTAGACTTACAGCTTTAGACTTACGATACTAGGCTTCCGATATTAGATTTACACTGTTAGACTTATGACATTAAACTTGATGTGCTTGTGTATTTTGAGATATTGGTCCCTTTGGTCTCTTTGGAAGGTTCAAATTGAACATGGGTTGTGCGTCTCAGAATTTACCATTTCTACTGAAGAAATTTGAAAATTAGTTACAATACGATAACATGTGAAAGCTTCTTCTAAATCTTCAATTCTAATATTTAACTACATTATAAACTTATGCCGCACTCTGCACTATTCCAATCGCCGAGGTACAGGTAGCTGGGGTTAAGCAATAAGGGGATTAATTTTTCTTTTCGCGCAGCAACACATCAATTTATAATTAGTATTATGGAAGAAATCACAATAAAACGCCAGTGAAAAAGGAAGTAAAAGCAGAGGAATATGTGTGTCAGCACATGAAAACTCTCAGGTTATGTTTTTTATTTTCATTGTGGCAATTTTTCAATTAGTATTTCATGCATGGGGAGCGCAAAGTCAGTAGGGGTCTCACAGCGCCCGGGGAGTTTGACTGGGAGAGAACTGTGTCCGTTCTATCACGGCTTCACGTCGTATCTATCTCTTGAAGAACAAAAAGGTAAGATAAGATAAGATTTCGTTCGGATTTTTAACCCCGGGAGGTTAGCCACCCAGGATAACCCAAGAAAGTCAGTGCGTCATCGAGGACTGTCTAACTTATTTCCATTGGGGTCCTTAATCTTGTCCCCCAGG